AAGTGACTGGGGGACTAACATAAAGTTTTAAGAAATGCTTACCAGGCTGGCGAGAAACCTGTCGACAGGCCATTCTTCTTGAGCCTCCAGTTTAAGATTTCCGGATTAGGTCAATTCAGGTTGAGAGCATCTCGCTTCAATCTAGAAGTCAAATGAACTTAGGGGAGCCTGGGGAAGTCATTCTTCTGCATGAAAGGGTGTCAAGCAAGAAACTACTGAGGTGAAAACTGGAATAGGGTAGGGTTGGTGGTTGGGATAAGCAGTGATGTAAATTGCATTCATGTAGCATAGTTTGTTGTAGTTGCATGAAAATTACAGTGAAACATTCTCTTCACATCCCAAATTTGGAAATAAGGGAAAAAGATTATCTTAAGGGAGATAAAAAAAAATCACTTACACTTTCAAATATTTAATGAAGCCAGTAAAGAAATGCAAAATTGTCTTAAAGAGAATAAATGGCTTCCAGGCTAATGGGATTTGAGTGTAATTTGATTGAATTAATTAATATGTTCAAAGAAGACATGTCAGTCAGGATGGGAGATGGTCAGAGAAGAGTCCTTAGCCCGTTTTAAGCACTATGCTGGCATACGGCTCCCCTGGCGAGACAATCACACTGAAAATGGTGGTGTTGGGAAGAGAACAAAGTCTTAATACCTACCCACATATTCATCTCGTCGTGTGACTGTCACATATATCTCATTCTCCCATTCCGACCAATTTCTGGGACGTGGTGAACTTGAATCTTCCTGGAGAGAGGTGTTCTGCTAGCAGTCTAAGCCCTAGAGGGCTTAGAGCCACTCTCAGGACCTGGTGAGCCCCCAGATGATGACATTACCCTACAAGGCTTCTTGAAGTCAGCCAATGTCCTGCTCTCATCACCCTCTCGTGTGCATTTCCAGGAGTATTGTCTTCACATCTCTACAATCATTAAGTGCTCACCTAGTGTCAAACCCTAAGTACAAGTACAGAGTATAACCTCTGGAAAGATCAGTCTTGATTTAGCCTTATAAACCTTGTAGGTCAGGTTTTATCCAGACTGTGGGAACTCCCTGAATCTATTTGGAGAAGATTATTTATATGCATCTGTGTGTATTTTTCTGGGGACAGGGTCTATAGATTTTTAAGGGGTTCTGTTGGCTGAGGTAGTTGAAATCATTGCTTTGGGGACCATAAGTTTGACTTTTTGAGTATAGGGGTTCTGCAGGGAAGAAGATCTGGACACTTGGAAGCCAAAGTTTAAGCCCGTAGGAATGCAAAAGACCTAGATCTTCAGGGACAGAGAGAACAGAAGAATCTGTGGGTAGAAAGGGAGAGGAAGAAAGAGACAATGTGCTATTTCATAATGCATCTTGACTGCCATGAGTGTAATAGTCTTTTGATTTTATCAAAATGTCCTAGTTTTTTTTTGTAGTATTTTTTTTGGCTGATTGATTCCCTTTGTAGGAGGTAAGGGTGGGGGGAGTGCAGAGTGGCAGGGATGGTTCCCTCAAGCATTTTCAGGGACATGGAAGGCACTCCATGGCATAGGAAATAAACCGCTACGGGATCATAAAAAACAGTACCATGCTAATTTTTGCATTTCTTAAGCCAGTATCTGTTAATGTCCCTTTAATGTAATTTGCAGTCAGTACAACTCAAGTCAGTACAATTCAACTCACTTTATTTTTTTTCAATATATGAATTTATTGTCAAGTTGGTTTCCATACAACACCCAGTGCTCATCCCAAAAGGTGCCCTCCTCAATACCCATCACCCACCCTCCCCTCCCTCCCACCTCTCAACTTACTTTAGTAAGCAATAATTGAACACTCCTTGTCCACATTATTCCAGCCTTTCTACTACCAATGGATTATTGGCCATGAGCTATGAACTGATCTTGTAGTGTCCACAGAACTGAGAGCAGGTAAGCTTTTAAAGCAATGCTCTAGGGGTACCTGGGTGGCTCAGTCAGTAGAGCATCCGACTCCTGATTTCCGCTCATGTCATGATTCCAGGGTCATGGGATCGAACCCCATATTGGGCTCTGTGCTGATAGTATGGAGCTTCCTTTGGATTCTCTCTCTCTCTCTCTCTCTCTCTCTCTCTTTCTCTCTCTCCCTCTACCACTTTTTCCTGCTTGCACGCTCTCTCTTTCAAGTAAAAAAATAAACAAAAATAAAGCAACACTCTGGTATAACTAGGGGATACTCACCTGGCCTGACTGTCTACTTCTGTTCTGCTGTTCCAGTGTTCTTATTAATAGCACCCAATTCAGAGGACAATTTATATAGTTATCCCTCTATATAACCCTTTTATTGCTCTAACCTTGTTTGTTCTTATCATTTATGTGACTCTCTTCCCATTAAGCTAATGACCTCCTTGGTAGTAGAATCATTGTCTTTTTTTTTTTTACATTTTTTTTTTTTACATTTTATTTTTGAGAGAGAGAGACAGAGCACAAGTGGGGGAGGGGCAGAGAGAGAGGGAGACACAGAATCGGAAGCAGGCTCCAGGCTCTGAGCTGTCAGCACAGAGCCCGATGTGGGGCTCGAACCCACGAACCGTGAGATCATGACCTGAGCCGAAGCCAGTTGCTTAACTGACGGAGCCACCCAGGCGCCCATAGAGTCATTGTCTTATTCATCTCTGTGTGTAGCACATGTCTGCTCTTTGGTGGACCCTTAAAAATTATTTATTTAAATTGAACTGGAATTCAAGACAGAGTGAAAAAGGTCCTTAGAATGGCAATGACCAACTTACATTATCCTCCCATGCTGCAAAGGTCTAGACTGGAGGTCTAGTTTTGAGTTACTGATGAACTTTACCGCTTTGAGAAACTTATTTTGTCTTCTTTTTCAACTAAATGGGAGAGTAGGTGGAAAGTGCTTTGTGATGGACTTTGAAGTACTCAGAAAATATTAGCTGCTGCCATTGTTACCAATAATAGTTGCTAATAATATCTATTACATATAACTTTAAACTTCAGTTTTCTTAGCTGGAAATTGAAGATAATAATTCCTGCTTACATTATTTTGATAATGAACATGAATTTACTTTGGAAACTATAGAGGGCTCTCATTGCATAGCCTGTAAAAGAATGCATGCTAACAGGGAGATTTGTGCTTCTAGAATTGCCATAACTCAGACATATTACATGGAGGGGGTAGCTCAATTGACTGACAATATAAAGAAGCTTTTAAATATAGCCTTCATAAAATATGATACAATTTCTGGGTCATTGGGTAGAAAGTTGACCTATTCCAAAGTATAGGAACATAAAAAAGTACATGGGAAAATTAGATGGGATGGACTTAGGACAGGTATGGGATTTAGGATTGGGATCCTGCTCAGTGTGAGCTCAAAGAAGCATTGCTTCAGGAATCATGAGGGGACAGAACGATTCCAGACTTGGCAGTTGGAGAGCAAAAGCTGGAGTTTGGGACAAAAGAGGATTCATATCAAGATAGACCTTCTAGTTTGCAAAATCAGCCAAGAGCTTATGTTTCTGAGTTAATGTGCATGTTTCATCAAAGGCATGCCAAATGTGGACAATACCTAAGGCAGTCAGCCAGCACCTGCATTCGCTGCTTGCTAATAAGAGGAAGGCACCCGAAAATTACACATGAAAGCAGCTTTCAGCCAACGATCTGATAATGCAATCTTTTCTGAGAATGCAATCTCTATCAGGTGAGTCAGAGAAGATGGCTGATTTAAAGTTGCAAGTTCCAGCATCCTTGTTATCCTAACAGGCAATCCAAGCAGGGGCAGAGCCATTGACACTAGGAATCCTTAGATCTAAATGCCAATAGACTAAGGGGTAGAATTTCGGGTCTACTTCTGGGCAGATGGTCAGATGGTAGCAGCAGCAGCAGCAGCATAAGCAGCAGCAGCGGTAAATGCTTACATAAGCACTTACCCCTAGTAACCCATTTAATTTTCACCACAGCCCTGGGAAGTGGGTATGATCACCGCCCCCATCTTACAGATGGCAAACTGAGGAACACAGAGGTTAAATAACTTGCTCAAGGTCACACCGAGTAAGTAGCAGAGTTAGGTTTTGAATCCAACGTGCCTTGGTCCAGAGAATGTGCTGCTAACCAAGATGCTCAACACTTTTGACCATGATAATCAGCGCAAAGTATACCTATGACTTTGTGTGATGTAACTGTGGGACTGAAGCCATAAACTTCAGATGGTTGGTTTTCCATTCTGTCCCAGGCTCTACTTGAAAGGAGGAAGTTTGTCTAGATTATAACTTTTTTAGAGGTATAAGACTCTTGTTCATATTTGTATCATCCGGGGCCTCATATCCCCTCCCAGCTCATGGCAAGAGCTCAATAACCCATGTTGTTTCTATGGATTTTCCCCGACTCTCTAAAATTCTTTTTGCTACTGAATAAGAGAGGAGGGTGGTAATGCACAGCTCCACCCCAAACACCTGACAGCCACTTGACACTTAGTTATTCCTCCTCTTGTGGGTCAAACACTTTGATCACATCCCAACACTATACTCAAGGCTTGTTTCTGTCCTGCCCATGGAGTTGCTGGTCCCAGCCAAGGGAATCATCTGTTGCTGCGGTCATCTGGTCCTCCTGTCACAAGGCTCATGGTCATGCATGTCAAGGCTGTGGATCAGACCTGGGTTTGAATCTTGGAAGCAGAACTTCCTAGCTCAGTGGCCTTGGCCAGGTCTTTCTGAGCCTCATCATTTATGAATGAGGGTAATCTTATCCCATTCAGGGGCTGCTGGCAAGACTTAAACAAGATAACATATCATCTAGCATTGTGCGTGACACAGGGTAGTCAGGTGCTCAAATTATAGAAAGGGAGTTTCACAGTTTGATGGCGACTTCCTGGAGGCTTGTGATCCTGTGTTCCTTTGTCAGGGATCCTTCTCCATGTTCTCAGTCTCTCCTCAACTACTTCAGTCTCTGCCCCAGTTTTATACCAAAATCCCAATTGGTTCATTTGCTGTTTATTGTGCGTAACCAATATTTGGGCTCACTTTGGTTCTTTCCCAGGAGCTATTTGGCTACCGGACTCAAGGCTGCCGGAAAACCCTCTGTCTTGCTGGATCCATCTTCTCATTTGGGATCCTCCCCTTGGTGTTTTACTGGAGACCTGCTTGGCACGTGTGGGCAAACTGCGTCCCGTGTTCCTTGCAAGAGGCAGATGTCGTGTTGCTGAGGACAACAGTAAGTGTGTATCTGGCTTTGTACTTGGCGGCCCTTTCTTTTCCTGGACATCTCGTTACAGGATGGCTGTGAGGAGATGTGCACACGGCAAGCTCCATCACAGCCTTGCGTTTTATTTACCAAGAACTCAATAATTTATGTATGGTGGGATCTCATTAAAAAGGCCGACTTCACAGGGCATTCCTTTTAAACTTGTGAGTTTTATGAATATTACAACCTGAATAACCATCTTAATAGGTACAAACAATGGGTAATGTGAGGTAGCTGAGTAAGCTACACACTGCAAAATTCACATGGCTCCTTTCCCCTGTCCTGATGTGTCATACCTATCCTAGTGCCCCTGGAACAACTCTGCAGGAAGGGACCAGGAGACATGGGGAGGAGCCATGGTCGTGTCACATCCTGCAGATATGCTCGGGTAAAAAATGCAACCATCTTGTCCTGAGCTCATTGTCTCTCTCTGCTAATTCAAGGTCCTGGTATTAGGTGAGTTTCCCTGAATTTGCTCAGCTAACAATTCCTCCTGGCACTCATTACACTTAGGCAACGTGTGTCATTCCTGTTCCTGCTGGACTGTCAGCTTCACAAGGGAAGAGATCATTTCCAGCTTGCCACCCGCTGCATCCTGAATTCCTGCATGTGGTAGGGATTCCATAAAAATGTGGTAGCTGACAAGTGGAAGTAGATATTCCTATTGGTGGGAGTCAAAGTACAGTCTCACAGAGGACACTGTGCTGACTTTTCTGGCTGACTTTTAGTGAGTGTTTCTAACAATGCATCAACCTAAATGACCCAGAATGACAACAAAATTCTTGATAAGGCAACTTCTGCTGGGCTGTTAACTTTTGTATAGATATAGATATAGATATAGATATAGATATAGATAGATAAATACTCTATTTAATGCAGCAAGAGGAGAGGATAGCAGTGAGTCTTATAACCACAATACAGGTGATAGCTGAGGGACCGCCTCCCAAGTTCCACTCTGGTTATCAGGGGGCAATGATCTTGCAGCAGTGGAAACGACCTCAGACACAGAAAAGCTTTCTGCCTTTCTGAGTGCACCACCAGACTGTTCAGATGTGAGAATGTCTGGCTGGCTGAGCTGCAGCCTCTGAGATTGCTGGCAGAGTCAAGGCACAAATACGAATGGGAGGAAATGAGCAAGAAAATGGCAAGGGAAGGGAGGAAAATGAAAGAAACGGAGAGTACGGTTGGTAAAAGGAAAATGAAGGAGGAGAAAAGAGAAAGAAAGATCTAGTAAGAATGTTAGAAATAAAAATAAGTGTCAGGCCGTCTGGGTGGCTCAGTCAGTTGAGCATCTAACTCTTGATTTTGGCTCAGATCGTGATCCCAACGTTATGGGCTCGATCATGACCTGAGACAAAATCAAGGGTCAGATGCTTAACCTACTAAGCCACCAGGCACCCCTCTCTCTCTTTAAAATAAAATTAAAGGAGTGCCTGGGTGGCTCAGTCGGTTGAGTGTCCAACTTTGGCTCAGGTCATGATCTCACGGTTCGTGGGTTTGAGCCCCGCGTCGGGCTCTGGGCTGACGCTCAGAGCCTGGAGCCTCCTTCGGATTCTGTGTCTCCCTCTCTCTCTGCCCCTCCCCCGCTCATGTTCTGTCTCTCTCTGCCTCTCAAAAATAAAGAAACGTAATAAAAAAATTTTTTTAATAAAATTAAATTAAAAATTAAAAAAAAAAAATCAAGTGTCAACCAACAGGTAATGATGCAGTTTGGGATTTGGAGTCAAGGCGTTTGACCTCTAGTCCTAGCACCTTGGATGTGTTACACCTCAGATGTGTTACCTAACCTTTCAGGACCTCAATTTCTCCACTTGTGAAATAGGCTTAGTGAAAGTACTTGTTCTTTCCTGAGTTGGTGTGAGGAGGAAGTGAGATTATGTATGTAAAAGCCCTTTGCAAACTATAAAATACATGATCAGACCATTTTGATTATGTGTGTGTATTATTGCTGAAGCAGCTCCGAGAGCTTGCTGTACAGAAGAGCATGCTACAGGCAGGCGCCACATGTAAGCTGCCCTGCTTCTCTGGATGCTGTGCCCTCCCCTTATTAGCAAGGAGCATTCCTTTCCAGGACAGGAAACTTGGGGAACAGGTCCAGTGCCTGGGAATCCTCAATATTCATCCATGCTCAATAACATCACCTTTCCTGGTTGCATGTGATCCACTTCATAACTGGATATATATTGGAAAAATTTTACAAAGCTCTGGTGCCTTAGGGAGCTGTGTGCCCTACCCCTCCTCCTCTTCCTTTGTCTCTTTCAAAGCCTTTTAAACCCCTCCTCCATTCAACTGCCCTCCACAACTAATCAAAGCCACGGAAACCAGCTTCAATCTTGCCTTTTTCATCTTGATTTCAACTTTAATTTTTAATTACCTCCTCTTATGTGTCATTTTAAATGGATTTGCTGTGCAAGAGACTCTCCAAATAAATGAGGTTCTAAATTAGTCTTTATGTAATTAGACAAGAACTCAATTATATCAAACATTCTTACTATTTGAGCCTTAGATAAAAATGAGCTTTGGGCACCAATAGTTTATAAGTGTGCAGCTAGGTTATTTGCATTAAAATGACACCTTAAACATTTTTACTTGAATTGTATTACTATAGCTGGACCGTAAGGACTTCCCATTAAGGACAACTAAGAAGACTCCTACCTGAAAATGTGTTGTATACTTATTTTCCATGTTATTAAAAAATCAGTACTTGGTATTTATCATCAATCTCACACTGGTAAGATTACAGATCATTATCACAGATACTGATTAGGTAGTCATTTCTTAACATTAAAAAAAAAGAGGGGGGACGTGATGTACTGACTGAAAGTCCTTGGCACTCAGTTTATTTCCAGTTCCCCATCTCTCATTAAGCACGTCTAAGGGTGAGATTTTTCCAAAAAGGTAAGAGTAATTGCACTTTTATTTTATAATTTAAAACTGGCATTTTATTCATTATTCATCTACCTCTGAATTTTAACCAATATCTGTAGGGTTACCACATTTCTATGCAAATATCATCATTTACATTCATTGGTGTTTTGAATTCAGATGCTCCTGATGATTTCCATAGTTTTCATCTTTGTTATAATTACAGATGTAGTTTTTTCCTTTGTCACATGTTGTCAAAGACTCATAATGTGCAGAGGAGAAAATGATGATTGGTTACTAGGCTGAGTCAGGGTGTTGTAAATGGGGAGCATTTTCCCTTCAGTTCCCTCTAAAGATGTCAGGGCTAGGGGCTTTAGTTAGAAAACTGAGAAATTCTGCAAATCAGCCACGCAAATGCATCCCACGTCCCACCAGCCTGCCAGGATGCCCATCAGCTCCCAGTGCTTGTGTTCTCATGTTCTGGATCCCTTCCTCATCTCTCCCTCCTCCTGTGTAGCCTCGTCTCTCCAAGCCCATGTGCCTCACATCAACACCATTTTCTAAGGGAGCCAGACACATTTTGTTTATGCTTTTACTCGGAACATTTCTTCTGATATTCTCTATCCTCTTCATTCATTCAATTATTCATTCATTCAGTAAACACTTCCTTGAGAACCAATCATGTGCCAGACATTGTTACAGGTACTGGGAATACAGCTATGAGCAAAGCAAGTGGGACTCCACGTCTCTGGTGAGGAGTCAACTCATACATGCATGCACACACACACACACACATGCACTCACACACACATGCACTTTCTATAGAGTATAGAAAGTAGGTGTTCTACCTCTATTTATTAAAATCTACTCATTCCTCAGCCATCTACCACCTTTTCCATCGTTGATCTATTCTCTGCCTCAATTCGGGAGGGAATTAATTACCTTTCTTTCATTCTCTTTTAGCTCCATATTTTCACCTCAGGCTGCTATAATGCTTTTAGCAATCTGCCTTGTATTAAAATGCTATTCATTTCACATTTTATAAAACAGCATCTCACTGACAATTTCATAGAATTCCCATAACGACTGTGGGAAATGGGCATTATCGTCTATCTCTATTTTACAGATGAGGGTATAGAGACCACCTTTGCAGGCTATTAAGCCTAGTAAATCTCCGTCGGACTTTCCCTCTCTCCTTCTCTCCCTCCCTCCCTCCTTCATAAATTTGATGAGCACAGGTTGTATGCCAGCCACAGTGGTAGCTCATGGACAGGGGGTGGGATATAATAATTAGTAAAATCAGAGTTCTTGACCTCATGAAATTCATTAGATCACTACACAAATAAATGCAAACATCCAACTGCTAGAAGTGCTACTTAGGAAAGGTTCATGGTCATAGTAGGATTATAAAATAGGGTTCTGACCAAGTCAAGAAAGCCTGACGTCTTTCTTGAGATCCAAAGGATGATGAGTCAAAAGGTGATGGTGGCTGGTAGGGAGGGACACATGGGAAATGGTCCAGGAAAAAGGAATAGTGTGGACAAAGCACTTGTACCTGTCTTCTGACCCTCTAAACCCAGAATTTTTTCCCACCATGCTGCATTCGTTTTTTTAATAGTTTTTGCTTTTATTAGATTATAGGCTTTTAGAAGGCAGTAACTGTGGCTTACTTTCCATTCCCCACAATATATAGAACATAGTTGCAGCAGGTACTCAATATTTATTTGATTTGATTAAATGAATTGAAATTTAATCTGTAATAAATGGTCTCATGATTTCTACCAACATCTTACACAGGTGTTAAAGCGAAAGGTTCATGGTTGAGAAAGTAAGAGACGATAGTATTATGTTTCTTTCAGGTACACATTCTGCTTCTGAGTCTCATTCCCCCAGCTCCCATTTCAATGGTTTTTCCTTAGACATTTAGCCAGAAAGCCCTGAGATTCTGTGGGCTTTCCTATCAAAAATGATTCTTTTTTTTTTAATGTTTATTTATTTATTTTGAGAGAAAGAGAGAGAGAGCAGTTGAGGGAGTGGCAGAGAGAGAGAGAGAGAGACAGAGAATACCAAACAGCTCTTCACTGTGAGCACATGAGATCATGACC